GACCAGGCTGACCTTGAACTCACAGAGCTCCTCTTGAGTGCTAGGATTAAAGGAGTGTGCCACCACCACCTGACTTACAGTGTATTTTTTGTTCTTTGGGTTTTGTTGTTGTAGTTGTTGTAGTACTGGGATTGAATCTAGGACTCTATGCTAGATAAGTGTTCAGGGCCTCACCATTTACCCAGGCTAGCCATAACCTCAGGCTACAGCTCAGAATGGCCTTGAACTTCAGATCCTCCTGCCTCAACCTCCCAGACAGCTGAGATTACAGGTCTGTGCCACTAGCCGAGCTCAACATGGTGGCTTGGTACGTTTTGAGAATCACTAAATCACGCTAATTAGCATATGCATTGCCTCCTATGTACCTGAAATTTTATACAGTTCAAGTGTAGTAGGATTGACATCAGCATCAGGGTAACTCACTTAGTGCTGTCTACTCGATGAGCATCTCACCAGCGCTTAACTTACTTTCTGTGTCACGTTATAGAAATGCTGATGGTTTTCGGTGTATATTACATCCCTTACTGGACTGTTGAGCCCAAGAAATCCCAGAAGAGCTGATCGAGCTCTGAGCTAATTTCCCGAGAGCCCAGCGTTGCGTTCATACAGAAGGACAGTTTGCAGTGTTGGAGGGAGTCACCGACTCTGGCCAGGAACTGAGAGCTTTTGGTTTTATTTTTTTTCTTTCTCACAATTGAATCCAGGGCCTGACGTATATTTTAAGTGAGCCCTTCTCCCACTCAGCTGTGTATTCCCAGCCAGAAAGTAAGGGTGTGCTGGGGGGACACCCTTTTGCTTCCAAAAGGACACCAAAGACAGCCTGAGACTCAGAAGCAAGGAGCAGTGAAAGCGACATATACAAAGGATAAAACTTAACTAATCCACAATAATAGAAGTGTATAATTGAGCCGGGGCGTTGGTGGCGCACACCTTTAATCCCAGCACTCGGGAGGCAGAGGCAGGCGGATCTCTGTGAGTTCGAGGCCAGCCTGGCCTACAAAGTGAGTTCCAGGACAGCCTCCAAAGCTACAGAGAAACCCTGTCTCGAAAAACCAAAAAAAAAAAAAAAAAAGTGTATAATTGAGCAAATGGAGATGGAGGGACAGTTTTTCCTTACAGAAGAACTTCCAGTTAATGAATGGACAAGGGATGAGAGAAATTGAACCACAGTACTCCTCCCATAAGCAAGGTTGATTGATGAATCCTAAAATCAGTAGGAAGAAAGACGAGAAGAAGAATGGTTGTATAACCTTAATGTATTACCTTCCAAAATGTTATTTGCAAAGAGAAAAAAAGGCTTTTATGTTTTGTTTGGGTTTGGATTTTTGGTTTTGGGAGAGTCTCACTACATAGCCTTGGCTAGCCTGTACTCACTTTGTAGACCAGGCTGGCTGCAAGCTCATAGAGTTCTGCTTGCCTCTGACTCAGTATCAAATGTGTTCAATGCCAGGCTGACCCAGGCTTTACATATATTATTATTATTATTATTTTGTTTTGTTTTTGTTTTTCAGGACAGGGTTTCTCTGTCCTGGAACTAGCTCTTGTAGACCAGAGATCCACCTGCCTCTTCCTCCCAAGTGCAGGGATTAAAGGCGTGTGCCACCAATGCCCAGCTCTATTATTATTATTATTATTATTATTATTATTATTATTATTATTATTGTTTTGTCTTGCTGGGGATTATATCCAAGCACAAATGGAAACCAATCACTGTGTGTGCAGTAAAGACACTGCAGGTGACTCTCACCTTGCTAAGAGATCCAGGTCAGAGCACCCTCCTTCCTGAGATGATCACACACTAAGAGACACTGTTTGCTAGGCCTCTCTAGGTATAACCAGCATGAAGTTAGTATCCTACAAACCCACATTAGGAAGACAGCCTCCAAAATGTCCCAATTCCCTTCAAAGTATCCAGGTTGCAAAAGGTGGGGTAAGATTTAAGAGCTGCCATGACCTGGTGACTTACTGCTTTGTGGTATTCTGGGATAGCAGTAGGAAAGCTGGTAGAATGTGAGTAAATTCTGTGATTTATCTTCTAAAAATTGTTATGCTAAAGAAAACCATACAAGTAGTAACATGCTACTATATCTTTTAAGTATACAAACACACACACACACACACACACACACACTGGAGAACTGAGAAAAATCTAGGGCCAAAACAATCCCCTCAAGGAAATAACTATTCTCCCACAGAGTGGGGTGAAATATTTGCAAATTATATGTTCTAAGAGGCTTTTTTCTAGGACAGTAAATTCTGATGTCTAAAAAACCCAGTTTGAAAATGGACAGAGGATCAAATAAATACTTCTCCAAGTAAGACTTTAAAAATGGAGGGGCTGGAGAGATGGCTTAGCAGTTAAGTGCACTGGCCACTCTTCCAGAGGGCCCAGATTCAATCCCCGGCACCTGCATGGTGGTTCACAACCCATCCAGTTCCAGAGGATTCGACTCTTCTGACCCTCCCCCCCACGTCCCCAGGGAACTGTACACATATGATATACAGACTTACCATGCAGGAAAACACCCACATTCATAAAATAAATATAAATCTTGGGGTGGGGGAGAAGACCCTAAAAGATGGCCAACTTTGTAAACCACCTGGGAATTATAAACCAGAACCACAATGAAGAACTGGTATGATAGTATGTGTATTTAATCCTAGCGCTCAGAAGGCAGGAAGATCTCTTGTGATTTCAAAGCCAGGATCTACATAGCAAGTTCCAGACCAGCCTGAGATATATGTCAAGACTCTCAAAACAAGTCAGATGGTGGTGGTGGCGCACACCTTTAGTCCCAGCACTTGGAAGGCAGGGGCAGGAGGATCTCTCTTGAGTTTGAGGCCAGCCTGGTCTACAGAGTGAGTTCCAGGACAGCCAGAGCTACACAGAGAAACCCTGTCTTAAAAAAAGAAAAAAGAAAGACACACAGTGAAATACCAGTTCACACTGTCAAGAGTGACTGGGGTCAGAAAACCAGGTAACAAGCGACAAGGGTGTGAAGAAACTGCTACCCTCATTCTTTGATGAAATGGTAACAGTGCTTTCAAAGACAGTCTGGTGTTTCCTCAAACAACTAGACCTAGGTCCCATGGCCCAGCAATTCCATAGATTACTAAGAGAACTGAAAGCATGCAGCCATACACAGACGTGCCCGTAGATTATGAGATTCATACTACTCAAGAGGTGGAGACAGCCCCAGTGCTCACCTCCAGGTGAGCAGATAAACAAAACATGGGCTGTGCAGACAGATGAGCTGTAAAGCAATGAAGCTGACATCACTGGTGAACTCTGAACATACTGTAAACAGGGTGAAAGGAGCCAGTCACAACAGGCCGCCTACTCTGTGACTCCATTCAAACAGAATGTCCAGAATAAAGAAACCTTGGAGACAGAAGACAGACAGTGGTTCCCTAGGGCTAGACTGGCGGAAGCTGCTCAGGAGAAAGGCGAGAGTAAAGAATGTTGTAAAATGGATGTGATTGGCGCACTTACCCAAGTATAGTGAAGCCCACTGAGTTGTCTGTACTTTTTGTGATGAGTAGGTGTTCTTTGAGGCGAGGTCTCATCTCAGGCTGGCCTTCCTTGAGAGCCTCTCACCTGTGCCCTCTGAGCTCGCCGAGATGGCATGCCACCAGGCCCAGCATGCGCACTGTGAATGTGTGGATGTATGGTTGGGAATTCTGCCACCAAGCTTGGTAGAGTAAGTGCAGGAAGAAGTGGTTCCCAGAAACAGGAGAAGCTCTGAGGAAGGGAGATGCTGGTTGGGTTTGCTGTTGTGGTAGTGACACTGCTCCTCAGGACAAGAGAAGGGAAGAAGTGGCCCTTCTTCCATTAGTTAGCTTTGGTTCTGTTCTTTGAAGTGTTTCACTTGGTTTTGTTTTCTTGTTTGTTTGTTTTGAGAAACTTGGTGTTATGTGACAAAACTTTTCCTTTCCAGAGAGAGACACACACACACACATCTACTCACTCCAGATAGGGAACCCACAACAGAGCAAATTATGGATACCACTAAAGCCCAATTTGGTGAACCGTTCAGCTTTATTTGGGTTACTTACAGGACTCAAAGACAGCTGCATCACTGAAGCCGATGCCAGCATGACAACCTGCAAAGCTGGGAACCTGGAGCACACTGAGCAGCCTGCAGATAGCTCAGCAGAGTGTCCCTTCCAGGTGCCTCGGGGTTTTAACCCTCTCCAAGCAGCCTGGCTACTTTCTGCTTCTTCCTGGCAGCGGCTCTGGTCTCTGAGTGTTCTTTGCAGTATTTCTCCTTTGAGAGTCTTCATTGCAGCTTAGCTCTTGTGGTCTAAGATGGACTGAGCTTTTAGGCTTACTCTAGGTAATCAGTGGGTAGGGAGGACTCCTAGTGCTGTTTGGTTGTTTTGAGACAGGGTTTCAACATGTAGCTTTAATGAGCTAGGACTCAATGTGTTGACCAGGCTAGCCTTGAGTTCATAAAGACCAGACCCTCCAGCCTCTGCCTCTGCCTCTGCCTCTGGAATGCTGGGATTAAAGATATGGGCCACTGTGCCTGGTGAGAAGAGTCTTATAGGACTAGAAAAAAAAGTCCCAGGAGAGTAGAGGGGACTCCTGCTGCTGGCTTCATACTCTCAGGGGCACAGCATGGATAGCTACAGAAGTTTGAGGAGAGTAGAGAAGGAATGGGGATGAGAGCCGCTGCAGCTGGAGGCCTTGATGGGGAGCAGAGAAGGTGAGAAAAGTAGATAAACAAAAGCTGGGACAGGAGTGAGTGTCCATCCTTTCCTTTTCCTTTCCCGTGGATCTGCCAACAAAGGATCTGTGGTCCTTAGCCACTAGCAATAGTGGCTCTTCAAAACTGATTCAATCTGGGCTTGACTTGTGCACCCCTGGATACCATGACAAGGGAAGAGGGAGAGTAGGACCAGGAGTCCAGGCCAGCCTCAGCTACTGTAAAATGATGGGTGGGTGGGTGGTAGATGGGATGGATGGATAGATAGATAGATAGATAGATACAGTAGGATGGATGGATAGATGATAGATATGATAGATTATACATAGATGGTAGGTAGATATGATGGATAGATAGATAGATAGATAGATAGATAGATAGATAGATAGATAGATGGCTTAATTTCTCAGATTAGCCATCGTTCCCACGTGTGGATAGTGGTAACGGTGATAAATTGACCTTTTCCTCTCAGCCCTGGACGGCTCTGTTCTGGGCAGGTGATGCTCAAGGACTGTGATGCTCAAGGACTGTGCAGCAGCCCAGTTGGTAGCTCATTCCTTGGTTTGATCGCCAGCACTGCAAAAACAGAATAAAACAGATACAAACGACCAAATGTGATTCTCAAGTCTTTTGATACATGAACGCTGTGGGGTTTTTTTTGTTTTTTAAGGCAAGGTTTATTTAGTCTGTAGTTTCACAGGCTTCAAACCATCGCTTTTAGACTTGTGGCCAGACAGAAGAGTGGTAGCCAGGAAGCGGCAGGGAAGAGCCTGCTCTACCCTCTTGCTAACATTGCTGTGCTATGCTAGAACTAAGACTTTTAAATATATATTTCATTCACTTAAAAATAGGCCAGTGGGGGTTGCAAAGATGGCTCAGTGCTTAAGAGCACTCGCTGCCCTTCCAGAGGTCCTGAGTTCAATTCCCAGCAACTACATGGTGGCCTCCACCACACATGCAAATACAGCACTCATATACATAAGTAAATAAAATAAATTTTTAAGAAAGCAGTAAAAGGACTTGTCTTGGTAACAACATTTGACACTAAGCCTGAGTTTGATCTTCAGAAACCTGGTGAAGGAGAAAACTGACTCCAAGAAGTTTTCTTCTAACTTTCACATGCACTCCTGCTCTCTAAATAAGTGTAAAAACAGGTCTAGTAAGATGGTTTAGTGTATAAAGACACTCACCAAGCCTGATGACATTCAGTTTGATACTCAGGACCACATGGTAGAAGGAGAGAAACAACTACTTCTGGTAGTCAGTGCTGACAGAGAGAGAGAAAGAAAGAGGGAGGGAGGGAGGGAGGGAGGGAGGGAGGGAGGGAGGGAGAGAGAGAGAGAGAGAGAGAGAGAGAGAGAGAGAGAGAGAGAGAGAGAGAGAGAGAGAGAGAGAGAGAAGTAATAACAACAATAATAAACCCAGCTGGGCCCTTAATCCCAGTACTGAAGAGGCAAAGACAGACAGATCTCTGAGTTCATGGTCAGCCTGGTCTACATAGCAAGTTTCACTTTGTACTAGACTTTTCCTTTTGGGTCACCAACCAGTTCCAAATCATGACACAGAGACTTATTAGTTTTGAATGCTCTGCCTATCTTAGGCTTGCTTCTGTCCAGCTCTTTTAATTTAAATTAACCTGTTTCCTTTACCTTTTGCCTCAGGCTTATTCTGGTGTCTGCCTGACTTCTGGCCCTGGACGTCTTCCTTCTCTCCTCCTCCTCATCTCATTCTTTCTCCTAGAGCCTAGACTCCTCCTCCTGTGTATTCTCTGTCCTGCCAGCCCCACTTACCCTTTCTCTGCCTCGCTCTCTATCACGCCAATCAGGTCCTCAGGCAGGCAAGGTGAAACAGATGCAGCACATCTTTACGTAATTAAACAAATGCAGCATAAATTAGAGCAGCACACATTTGCACAGTTAAAGTAATATTCTGCAGCGAAAACAAACGTGCCACAGTACCACCCATCGGGGGCTATACAGTGAGAGCTGTCTCCAAAAACTTAAGAAATAAAGTAGTAATCTTTTATGAAAAATAATTATATATTCTGAAACAAAAAGGGGGAATGTCAATATTCTTGATTTTTTGCAAATCTGGCGTCTGACTTGGTAGGAAACTGAGAGATTCTCATATCTGCTTCCGTGTCAGTCTATTGTCATCGTGGGCTACATAGTCTTTGGGAAATGCCACTAGAGACACCTAAAAGAGAAGGCGAGGAAGTAAGTTAGACAGTGTCTTCTTACTATGAAAAAGGTTTTAAACTTGTGGACTGCTTGACAGGGCTTCAGGGTCCCCAGACTACTCTTTGAGAGTTACTGTTCTAGAATAATCTCTACCTAATGGGAAAGAGCTTGTTCCTGAGAGATTGGATCACCCTAAGTCACATAAGCACTAAACTGTGGAGCTGGGCTGGTCTCTGCCCCTGCCTTCTGGTCTGAGGTTTTTTCCATCTCCTTAGTTGGGCCAGGCTGGCTCTTGGCTGGCCTTTTGGGAGTGGGGCCTTGGCTGCTGAGCCCCTGGTGTGTGGTCCTATAAATAAACCCATTGTGTGGAAACCCCTTCCCTCTCCCCACCTCCAGCAGCTGCTATTTCTGTTGTTGGGTTATGCCTTGGACAGGGAACAGCAGAGCTCTGAGAGCTGGGGTGAGGAATGTTGAAGCATAGAACTTCAGGGGCTAGTAGCATGCCACCTTGCCTTGCAGGGTAGGCCTGGTCCTGCTAGTAATTGGGTTTGGAAGAACTTGCACCTCTGTGGCAGGTTCTGCCCCTGAGAGGATTGGAGGGGCTGCAGAAGGGCCCCTGTGTCTCTGTACCAGTTGTCACGGGGACACGGCACTCCTGTCTGCCTTCTTTCCCAGTTCCCGTGGGAAATCTTAGGTGCTTTGGGCCAGAGATGAAGTGGACTCTCAGGTCTTGCCCTGTCCCTGCTCCCACCCTCTGCAGCCCACGGCTACTCTTAGCTTGCTGTGTATGTGCCTGCTGTGGGTGTGAAGGTTGCTGTTTACCAGTGGACTCCTGGGTGTGACAGGCTGAGATTCCAGAAAGCAGCTGGCAGGGGAGCCGAGCTGGTTGGTGTCCAGAGGATTCTTTTATTTAAGTCCCCATCTCTGCCTCCTGCAGCTGCCCACCCAGCCCCCACCGCCTGCCCCTGACTTTTCTCTCGGGAGGACTGTTGGGGAACAGCTGGAAAGTGAGGGGCTCCTCAGGGCCAGAAGGCCTTGGCTGATGGCCCAGGTGAGGAGGCAGTTACACACACTCACACTCACACTCACACACACACACACACACACACACACACACACACACACACGGGGAGGGGGGTGTCTGCATGCACACCCCAGGTCCTGACTAGAGAAAAAGAGGCTGGGGGGGGGCACAGACCTCTGCTTTCCTTGGCTGGCCCACCAAAGGCCAATATGGCAAGATCTCTTGAAGTGCAGGAGCTTTTTTTTTTTTTTTTTTTTGGTTTTTCAAGACGGTTTCTCTGTAGCGCTTTGGAGGCTGTCCTGGAGCTCTCTCTCTAGACCAGGCTGGCCTTGAACTCACAGAGGTCTGCCTGCCTCTGCTTCCCGAGTGCTGGGATTAAAGGTGTGGCCACCACCGCCCGGCTCAGGTGCAGGAACTTGTGCCGTCCTAACCTTTAGAATTAGAGGGGAGGCCGGGCTGAGGGCCCAGAGCTTTGCTCGCAGCAAACCTGGCGTCAGGATTGGGAGATACGGGTAGTTTCTTGACTGCTTAGAGGTAACCTTGACACAGTTCGTTGAGAAAAGTCCCCAGGTTACCCTGGCATTTCTTTGTTTGCGGCCAGGTCTCTTGTAGCCCAGGCTGCCCTGATTCTTTCCCTCCTCCTTCCAATACCTGGGTTACGGGCATGAGCCACCACACCTTTGGGTTTCAAGTTCTTACCTCATTTCTTTTTGGTTTTCATTCATCTTGCTTTTTAAAACAATGCCTCACTCTAATTCAGGCTGGTGTGGTATATGTTACTTCATACCCCAGGCTCTCCTTCAACTTCCAGCTGTCCTCCTACCTCAGGGTCAAGATTACAGGTGTGAACCGCACACCTGGCTGACCAGACACTTGTAGCCCACAGTTTCCCGTCGGTCTCTTGCTGCCTGAGAGCTTTCTGCTTGCTCTCCTTCCTCCCCTCCCCACTGAGCTCACTTCCCTGAGTCATGAAGTCATGAGAGGAGGGGCCTTTAATTTGCAGTTCTGGCAGAAACTTCCAGTTCAAGTTAAGAGTTTCCAAACCCAGCTGCCTCGTACCTACCAAGCCTGGTTGGCATGGAGGACTCTGATCCAACCTTGCTGATGTGCTGTGGAACCATGTGGAGGAATGTCTGAAATCCTAGGATCCAAGCTGGGCTTTCCCCAGCAACTGGTGTGACTAAGCACAGGACTTTGGGGCCCCAAGGGAGGAGGAGAATACTTGGCCCCAGAGGCACAGTGACATCCCCCATGTACAGCCTCTGGAGAAACAACTAATCCTGGCTTTAATGCAACCCATTGTTAGGAGAGTTCCGGCTTGAGTTTGGCTTGGAGCTGGAGGTAATCATGTCACTTATACATTCTGCTATCCCAAGAGGGCCACCATCCTTCTATGTGCTGCGAATATGTGTTGCTTTTATTGGTTGATGAGTAAAGCTGTTTTGGCCAATGGCCAGGCAGAATAGAGCCAGGCAGAAAATCCAGAGATACAGAGTGAAAGAAGGCAGGGTCAGGGAGACGCCATGTAGCATCCTGAAAAGCAACATGTGAGGTAACAAGCCACAAGCCTCGTGGTAAAATATAAATTAATAGAAATGGGTTAATTGTGAGAGCTAGTCAGTAATATGCCTGAGCCATTGGCCAGACAATTATAATTAATATTAAGCCTCAAAGTGGTTATTTGGGAACTGGTGTGCGTGATGAAAAATCTCCGTTTACTTATGGTGCCCAACTTGTAGTGAGAAATTCGTGTGCATCTGTTTAAGGCATAACGCAGGTTTATTAAGATATGAAAAGGCAAAAAACACTCTCACGAATACAGGATATGGTAAATCCAGTTGCATAGTCCTTGGAAATCTGGGGACTGATCACACACGTACCACCAAGAGAGAGAGAACTCCTCCTTTTTAAGAAGTCACATGGGCAGGTGAGAAGCACCGTCTTTGTCAAGCCAAATAACCCAAGGTCATGGGCAAAGTGAATACCCATGCAGGCCACAGGAAGTTTCTGTCAAGAATAAATGACTCTCACTATGTAGCTCAGGCTGTCTTTGAACTCATGATACATCTTCCTAAACTCTTAAGTGTTCCAGGTTTGCACTGTCACGCTGGCTTTTTTATAAATCTTCAGCTCTGGCACCTTCAGTAGGTTTTTTGTTGTTGTTGTTGTTTGGTTTTTGGTTTTTGGTTTTAGTTTTGTTTTTTGTCTTGTCTTGTTTAGTTTGTTTTTTTGCTTTTGTTTTTGTTTTGTTTTTTTGAGGCAGGGTTTCTCTGTGTAGCTTTGGAGGCTGTCATGGAACTAGCTCTTGTAGACCAGACTGGCCTGGAACTCACAGAGGTCTGCCTGCCTCTGCCTCCCGAGTGCTGGGATTATAGGCGTGAGCCACCAATTCTGGGCTTCAGCTCTGGCACCTTCAAGGCAGCTCAGGATGTAAAGTCATTTCCCACCAAGCCTGCCAACCTAGGCCCACATGTTAGTAGGGAACCAACTCCCACAAGTTCTCCACTGCCCTGTCCTCCGTATGTGAGATGTGGCGCGTGCTCAGGCATACTCTCACACATACACGCATGTAATAAATACAAGAAAAGTACTCTGTTGCACTCTGGCCCCACACATAGGCAGAGGCACAGGTACAGAAGTGCTTCTCCTTGCCACTGAGTGTAAGGACCCATCCCCAGGACAGGCTGACAGCTTCCTGCCCTCTGCTGCTGGAAGCCTGCAGACTCCATTCTGACTTGGGCAAGGCCTCTGGTGAAGGGAGCAACAGCATTTCTCCCACAGTTGGAATGACCACAGCCTTCCTGGTGGCAACACTTGCAGAGAGCTGCAAGAGAGACACTCTGGGCGGCTTAGAAACATCAGGTCAGGGCTGGAGAGGTTAAGAGCACTGGCTGCTCTTCCAGAGGTCCTGAGTTCAATCCCCAGCAACCACATGGTGGCTCACTACCATCTAGGAGATCTGGTGCCTTCTTCTGGTGTTCAGGTATACATGCAGATAGAACACTGTATACCTAATTAATAAATAATCTTAAAGGAAAAAAATGGAAAGGGATGTCAGGTCATCCAGTATTTTCCTGTGGAACTTGACCCCTGCCTCTGCATCTGTAGGTTCAGAGTTGGAGGGGGTAGTGTTCCCTTTGGGATGTGCTGGGTCACCACCTCCTTCAGTCAGCACATAAAACTCCAGTGACCTCAAGTTCTGGCCCTTACTTCCGACGGGGATGCTTTCTTACCGCTTATGAAGAGACATCCCAGTAAATTACGTCTGTCCTCTTTCTGGGTTTTGTTTTTGTGTGAAGAACACACGCTATTGGGCTTCTCCTAGCTTTAGCTTTATAGTTTCTGAGCGCAGGGCCCTGCCCTACTTAGCCCACTCGCTTCTTCCCCTTCTCTGCACGTATGTGTGCCGCATGCCAGCTGCTCTTCCCTGGCGTGGGGAAGACTGTGACCGTGGGGGTCAGGAGCCACAGAGTGGAGCTGGGGTAATGTGCAGATGCCGGAGCTGTTGCAGGCTAACTGTAACCTGGGGCCTTCTGAATCTTAACCCTTACGTGTGTGGGGGAAGGAAAATACTTCTTAAAATTGTTGCCATTTTTCCCAGGCCCCCATTTCTAAATATATCAAATGAGATAATGTCGGGAACAAGCCAAGCTGTCCTCAGCCCATTTTACACTGCTAAAATAACAAAGGGCTTCACCTCTTTAAAGACCCTGCGTGTGTAAGGTGCACCACATGTGTGCAGTGCCTTTGGGGATCAGGAGAAGATGATGAGTCCCTTAGAACTAGAGTTACAGGTGCTTGTAAGAGTCCATGTGGGTGCTGGGAACAGAACTCTACTTCTCTACAAGAGCAGCAAGTGCTCCAAACTACCAAGCCATCTCTCCAGCTACCAGGGCAATATGTTTTTGTGGCATGTTAAAATAAGTATTACAGCCATGCATGGTGGCGCACCCCTTTAATCCCAGCACTCAGGAGGCAGAGGCAGGTGGATCTCTGTGAGTTCGAGGCCAACCTGGTCTACAGAGTGAGTTACACAGAGAAACTCTTTCTCAACCCTCCCCCCCCCCACTCACACAAGAAAAAAAGTATTACATGGCTCTTCTTCCTTTTCTGCCCACTATGGAATTTGTGCACACAACTAAAAAGGAAGACTTCTGGGCCTGGGGTTGTAGCTCAGTGGCAGAATGTTTGCCTGGCATGCCCCAGGACCTCTGGCACTGCCTTCCTCCTCCCCCTTGCCCAAAAGCAATCAGAAAGACTTCTCCCATTTGCCTGTTATTCCCTCAAAACTGCTACACTCTTCCTAGTGTATAAGGCAGAACCCTGTGTATACTGGACCTACCCTGTGCTGACAAGCTAGGGGACTCAAAGGGAGGGTCCTCAGAGGACAGAACAGACCAGCTAGGCAGTGTGGCGTACCTGGAACTTGGGCCTACTGTATATGAGCCCAAGGTCACACAGGCTTTGTATGGCCTGATCAGCAGGTGGTATCATCAAAAGTGTCCAGTGAGTTCACGCTCAACACTGTATTCATTGTCTCATTGTGTCTTCCATCTGCCCTTCGTACTGAGTAGCCTTACGCCATTTCTTAAGACGGGAAAGTAATTCTCTGGGGTCCCTATCTCAGCTCAAGCCTACCCAGCTGGGCAGAGCTGGCATGTAAGGTGTTCCGTGTAGCTGACAGTAAAGCTCAGACCACAAAGGAGGGGGCATTTGTGCCCATCCAGTACACTGTGTGGACCAGTCATGTGGTTGCGGCGATCTTTACCCTGAGGAATCTGATCACCACGGCTCTAAGAGAAGCTGAGCAAGGGTGCAGAAGAGAATCTGGGTGTGGGGCGCACTGGGGTAAAGTCTGGGTGTGCTAGGGCAACTCTTCCTCAGTTTGCTTTAAAATACAAGCATTGATAATAGCGTTTGTCTCCTCTATGATCTCTGAAGATCAGAGAAGACTGTGGGTTCGGGAGGGTCCTGAACACCACGTGGGACAGTTGGCTAAACCTGTGAGGTGAATGACTTCTGCCTGAGAGCTGGGGGGACCTTGGCACTGACCCTTTCCTCTGCCTGGGGGAAGATCTGTGCTCTCCACCTCGGCTTCTTTTTGCACTTCACTGAAGACCAGTTCTTTCCACCGAGGCCTGTTCCTGTTCTCACTAAGTGTGGCAGCTGTTCTCTCAGAGGCAGCGTGTGTGACTGCCACCCGGACTGCCACAGCTGTGGGACACACAGACCCAACAAGCCCAGCACTAGAGGCTTCTGGTT